AGCCCGCTATGATACTCACCACCGCCCGTTAGAATTTCAGGTGGGTGACTTCGTTTACCTTAAGCTCCAACCTTACCACCAGATCTTGTGGTAAGACGGGCTTGGCACAAGCTAGCACCCAGGTATTATGGGCCTTATAAGGTTCTGGAGAGAGTGGGCCTTGTTGCTTATCGGTTGGACCTCCTTGCAACCTCAAAGCTTCATCTAGTGTTTCACATCTCACTTCTTAAGAAGGTGGTGGGAAATCATACACCTGTCTCACCCAACTTACCCCAATTCATTAAAGAAGGGGACATTGACACGGAGATTGTCAGAATTGTGGATTTCCGTTGGGTTCGACAAGGTGGTCAGGTTGTGCCAGAAGCCAAGGTAGAATGGGTTGGGCTTCCTCCAAATGATGCCACTTGGGAACCTTATCTTAGGCTGAATGAGAGGTTTCCAAACCTAGACCTTGAGGGCAAGGTCAATGCTAAGGGGGGAGGAATTGTTGGGACCCAAACACTCCCTCCGAACCCAACTATAGGTGTGGAGCAGGCCACCACCGAGCAGCATTTCACTAGAAGCCAGAGAGGCTAGCGTGACACACAACAGAGCCTCCCAGAGTTGGTTACACTGCCACCAGAAGATATTCTCTTCATGATTGCATACATGTAGGCCAGCTATATAAGGCCCTGATCATGTAATAAGTCGCGTGAATGAATATCCCTTTCATCTCTCTCTCTGTGTCATCTTCTTCCTACCTTGTCCCCTTTCCCTCCCATCTTCTGTTTCAGGAGGTTAAGCCACCCTTGAAGGGGCTTCAGAGGTGAGCGGTAACTCATCATAGTCCCTATTCTTCACCCGTCTTGTTGGTCAAAAAGGATGGTATGCGATGTTTTTGTGTGGAAGGATTTGAATCAAATAAAGGTTAAAGACCATTTTCCAATCCCATTAATTGAAGAACTGTTAGATGAGCTTTACGGGGCTGCCATCTTCTCTAGATTGGACTTGCATTTAGGATATCATCAGATAAGGGTTTATCTCGATGATATTCCAAAAACAGCCTTCAAGACCCATGATGGACACTATGAATATCCATCTGAAGCATTTTGGACACCACCTTAGCCATCCCTTGGCATAACCAGCTATATGCTAAAGCCTCCAAGTGCATCTTTGGGAAGACATAAGTGCAGTATTCAGGTCACTTAGTGGGTCAAGGTAGGGTTGTGGCTGACCTAGATAAGGTCCGTAGCATTCAAGAATGGCCCAACCCAAGTCCATTAAAGAAAGGTCTTCATGGATTCTTGGGCCTTACAGGCTATTACAAGTACTTCATACACAAGTATGGTCTCCTAGCTATGCCCTTAATGCAACTCCTTAAAAAGACAAGTTTACATGGATGGATCAGGCATAACAGGCACTCGACAATCTGAAGATGGCCCTCTCCACCCCACCCACACTTCGGCTTCAAGATTTCACTAAACACTTTGTGTTAGAGTATGATGCCTCCGGTGCAGGGCTTGGAGCTGTCCTATTACAAGATGAATAGTCCATAGCATACTTTAGTAAAGCTATGGGGAATCAGGCTTCTTCCCAGTCCACCTATGAAAGGGAATTGATGTATTGAAACCTACTTACAGTGCTATGTGGGGGACTATCCTAAGCAACGGGCTCAATGGTTGCACTAGGCAGAATTTTGGTACAATAGCTCCTTTCACTCGTCGGTGGGAATGACTCGGTTCAAGGCATTGTATGGTCAGGACCCGCCTTCTATCCTACCCTATGAGGCAAGATCGTCTGCAGTTGCAGCAATGGATCACGTCCTTATCACCAGAGACAACATTCTTAAGACCCTCAAAGCCAATTTCAGTTGCAGCAGTGGAAGCACTGTGTTGTTGAATTCAATGTAGGGGACTTCGTCTAACTGAAATTGCAGCCTATCATCAACACTCAGTGGTCCAGCAGAAGCGGCATAAGCTTTCACCATGTTACTATGGCCCATTTCAAGTTCTAGAATGGGTGGGTACAGTGGCAGATCAGCTGGATTTTCCAGCCTCTACAAGGGTCCACCCTGTCTTCCACGTATCTGTTGTCAAGAAATCTATTGGGCCGATGATCCTATTATACAGTGATGTTGCAGTTCACAGATGATGGTGAAGTTCTGCTACACCTACAGACAGTGTTGGATTAAGTCAGGTCGTCATTCCATCCATGAGGCTTTGGTTTTATGGGAAGGGCTGGGGAGTTGTTAGGACACCGAACAAGGATTCAATTGATCAACTTCAGAAGCCTCCCATACAAGGAGGTATTATTCTAGAAGGCGGCTACATCAGCAAGAAACTCAACCAACTGGTGCAAGTTGTCAAGCTTCCTAACTGCAATCTGTTGTCATCTGTTTCTGTTTCTGTATCCTGTAATCTGTTACCAATTTTGTCAATGATATAAGAAGAAGCAATGGGAAGAGAAGAATTACATAGAATTCCTGTTTTCTCTCTTTCTGTGTGTGTGCATTGGGCAGGTCCCAACATTTTGTTTACCTCATCTGCACTTTAAGCACAGAAAAGTAAGAGCTAAAATAAAAGTATATCAGAATTAGCATGCAACAATGATTATTAAAAGAGTTATATCTTGAGCTTTTCATGTTAGCTTGCAACAAGGATGCAATAGTTGCACACTAATATAGTTTTGTTGGAGACACTCCTATGTGGAATCCTGTTTCTTTTTGGAGAAATTTCAATGATAGAGAATTGGGGAAAATCTTTGACCTACTGTCTTTGATTGAGAATCAGAATTGTGATGTTTTGCAAAGGGACTCTAGAATTTGGAAATAGTACAGCTCCAGTAAGTTTTCAGTAAAACCTTTCTACAAGAAGTTATCTGAAGGAGACTCAGGAYCTTCTCCTTAAGTAGAAATCTGCTGAATTAAAAAATATAAAAGAAAAGTAGTTTCTTGAAGAGAGAAGGAAGAGAGAAGGAGAAGAAGAGAAGTTGAAAAGAAAAGAGAGCAATAATCTGGCTGCCCCCTTCACTTATTATTTATAATAAAATAATAGAACAGTACAAAGACAACTATGCCCTTATAGGGCGGCAAAACATAAAACAGCATATATAACACTCAAAAACATAATAAAATTTGG